ATGTTCCTAATCAGTGTTTGGAGCACTTCGCAAAAATGATGTTGGACTCAACTGCAACGAAAGACAACTTGCCTGCGAGTTTCTATGATGCAAAGAAGTTGGTGTCGAAGTTGGGTTTAAGAGTAAGAAAGATTGATTGTTGCATTAATGGTAGTAGTAAAGTCCATGTTTTATCTTCCGATAATACCAAGGTTAAAAAGAATGTTTTCTTCAATGCACAGTGCAAGTCAAATGACATGGCATCATACAAACAAAACAAGCCCAGGCAATATGCGACACCCATCTGACGGCCATGCATGGAAGCACTTTGATGAGGTACATCCTGATTTTGCCGCTGAACCTAGAAATGTCAGGCTTGGATTATGCTCTGATGGTTTTGCTCTATATGTCCAAGCGTCCAGAAGTGCGTATTCTTGTTGGCCAGTTATTGTAACTCCTTACAATCTCCCTCCTGAGATGTGCATGACAAAACCATACATGTTTTTGACGTGCGTCATTCCAGGACCGTCGAGTCCAAAAACCGGAATTGATGTGTACTTACAACCTTTAATTGATGATTTGAAGAGGTTGTGGAATAATGGAGAATGGACTTATGATATATCCCGTAAACAAAACTTTTCTATGCGAGATGCCTTGATGTGGACCATTAACGACTTTCCAGCATATGGCATGTTGTCTGGTTGGGGTACGCATGGCAGAATGGCTTGTCCGCATTGCATGGAATGCACTAAGGAGTTTACATTGGAAAAAGGGGGGGAAAGCTCGTGGTTTGACTGTCACCGCAGATTCCTACCATCAAATCATCCCTTTAGAAAAAACAAGACAAATTTCAAAAAGGACGAACGGGTAACAGATCTGCCTCCGCCTCGATTGGCACCAGTTGCTATATGGAACCAAGTTTGTGAACTTCCAAAGTTTACAGATACTGGCAAAGCATGTAGAATTGAAGGATATGGGGTCACACATAATTGGACAAAAAGAAGTATATTTTGAGACCTCCCGTATTGGAAAGATAATTTGTTGCGCCATAATCTTGATGTTATGCATATTGAGAAGAATTTTTTTGATAACGTATTTAACACAGTGATGGATGTTAAAGACAGAACAAAAGATAATGTGAAGGCTAGACAAGACATGGAAATTTGGTGTAATCGTAAAGAGTTGGAATTGAAGCCTCAACCAAATGGAAAATTATTTAAACCCAAAGCTTGTTTCAGTCTGACCCCCCAAGAAGCTAAAGCGGTTTGTGGATGGCTAAAAGGTTTGAGAATTCCCGACGGGTATTCTTCAAATTTAGCAAGGTGTGTTGATGCTAACACTGGGAAGTTGCATGGTATGAAAAGTCATGATTGTCATGTTTTTATGGAACAATTGCTACCAATTGCGTTCGGTTCTCTACCCAAACATGTGCTTAATCCACTCACTGAAATTAGTCAATTTTTTAGAGATATTTGTGCGTCAGCTTTAAGAGTGGATGACATCATTAAGTTGGACCAAAATATTCCAGTCATTCTCTGTAAGTTGGAATAAGTATTTCCGCATGGTTTTTTTGACTCCATGGAACATCTACCTGTGCATCTTGCATATGAGGCTTATCTAGGAGGACCTGTTCAATATAGGTGGATGTATCCGTTTGAAAGGTTCATGGGTGATTCAAAGCGATCAGTGAAAAATAAAGCTAGAGTTGAAGGATCAATATATGCACATTACTTGCATCGAGAAACTTCACATTTTTGCAGTCACTATTTCAAGCACTTGATGTTAACTCCAAGAATCATAAGGAATCCTGTAAATGTTATCGAACCCCCACATCCCACACAGAGTCGCACCCCCACATCCCACACAGAGTCGGATGATGATGATCTTGGTGTGGATGATGATCAGATAGATGGGAGAGATCTTCGAGGGGATGATGATCCGAGTGAGATTCATACCATTGATGGGAGATTTTGGATATGGCCTGAAGGGAACTCGTAAGTTTCTTATTTATTGATTTTTATTTATAAGTACACATTTCCATTTTTAATATAACTTTATATAATTAATTATGCTAATTCAATTATTGTTGTTTTAGTTTCAGGCCGAGTCGAACTGCTACTAAGGTTATCAATTATATAATTCAGCAGAATTATACAAAAATTTTGAAGAGTTTTAGAGAAGTTTGTGATAAAGAAGAATGGTTCAAGCAATTTCAGGTATAATTAATTTATTTCTTAAGTTATTTTTATTTAAATGACCTTTTCATTATTGTTATAATTTATCTAACTATTTATTTTAATGTCATACAACATTGCAGGCGAAATGTGTTTGGGATCCCCTGAACCATAACAAAGTAAAAAAAATTATTTTGGGAGGAGTTCAAGACGACTTTCTGACATGCTACGACGTGTTAGAGAGAATTGGCACCTTTTGGGCATTCGTCCCAAATGGATAGGCAAAGAAGTGTTTGAACAACTTCTTAAGTATTGGGAATCAGATGAATTTAAGGCTAAATCTGAAATTGCAAAGAAGATGAGGGCATCGGAAAAAGGGGGTTGCATTAATGTTGTTGGAAGTATTAGTACTGCTGAGCATGCTCGACGCATGGTAATTATTACCACTTTTTAAGGTCATATTTGGATTTATAACATATTATTAATTTAAGTTAATTTTTATATTTAGGCTAAGCGTTTGCGGAGACAACCATTGATGACTGAGCTGGTTAAGGAGACTCGGACAAAGAAATCGGGAGGATTTACTGACGAGCGCACAAAAAAAGCCCTGGTAAGTAAATTTATGTTTATATTTTATTTTAAAGCAATTTTGTGACGTGATTTTCATGTAGCAAGTGACATGTTGTGGCGTGAAAATTGAGTGGCAACTGATAAGTTGTGGCGTTACAATCACGTGGCTATTTATTTATTTTATTTTAATTTCATTAATGTTACTTATAAATTTAACTTGATTTTTTTATTGTATGTGTAGGAGGATTATCAGGCGTTGCTTGTAGAATTTCTGACCCATAATCCTCAGTATACGCCTCCTCCAGAAAAACCGGTTCATCCAGATGTGGATTTCTATATTTGGAGTCAAGTTGTTGGGGAAAAGGGGCCTAACTGGTGTTTTTTTGGTGGTGGAAATTTGGCGGACACCTTGAGGAGTGGGGATAGAAATCTGTATCAGAGAGCTGCAGACGGTGAAGGAGGGTCACGTCAAACAAATTTGACACCAAATCAGTTAGAACTGGTAAGACAATTGGCTAGACGCGAGTCCGAAGATCGTGAGGCGGCATTGAAGGCCCAAATGGATGCTCGAATGGAGGCAATGAGGGGTGAACATAATAGACAAATTGAGGCAATGGCGAAGAGGCAAGCTGATATGGAGGAGCAAATGCGACAATTTATGCAAGCATTTGGTAGAAATCCCAACAGTGGTGGCCAAAATAATAACCACCAAAATAATGATGACTTTCTTCCCGACATTTCCGACGACTCTAATGATTCTGCTTAGTTTTATTTTTATTTTGTATTTAGTTTTTTATTTGTGTAATATAAATTTATAATCATATTGTATATTTAAAAATATTATAAATTTAAATTTGAGTTTATTAAATTTATAATATTAAGTACATTTATTTATACATTTAGATATATTTAGTTTTGTTTTTGATAATTTGATTTATAATATTGTATTTAATAAATAAATTATAATATTTAATTTATAAATTTAATAAAACAAAAAATAATATTAATTATTAAAACAGAATTAATATATTTAAAACACAAAATATTTTTTTTTTTTAAATAAAACAAGTTGCGGCGTGTTTTTCATGTCACTAATTAGTGACGTGAAAAACACGTCGCTACAGTTAACGTACAAATGTGACTGCTCTGCTCTGTTCTGCACACTTTCATCCTATACAGTATGTTGCGGCGTGAATTTCACGTGGCAACTTGGTGACATGCTTTTCACGCCGCAACAAGATTGTCACGCGCTATATAACGACGTGTTTCTTAAGGTAGCAAAATTTGAATAGTGGCGTGATTTGGGTGTTAGCGATGTGGCTTTCACGTGACAAAACACAAGTTATTTTGTAGTGTTTATAATAGTGATTATAACACCATATAATAATTATCTAAAAATTATTTTAGAATGTTAAAACATAAAATTACTCGAATGTGGTCCTATAGAATTTTGTGGATAAAATCATAATATACAATTGTGAAAGTATTTTAAAAAAATAGTAAATTATGTCTACATTGACACTGATATAAATGATTAAATATATAAATTACTAATTTGGAGATGAATAATACTTAGGTTTTTTGTAAATAAAATTTAAAAAAAAAAGATGACATATTTTTTATTTGTTGTGAACTGTAATTTGCATGCAACTTCAGAAGCCCTAAAACTCTCATCCATGACTTTTGATCTCATACTTAATTAACATATTTATTTACATATTTGGATAATTCTCTTTGCTCCATCATCATCATCACTATCTTGTTACATCACTCTTGCACAAAACCATGCTACGTATTTTTGACATCAATTTAACGTGAAAAGCTCAAATCATCGCATCAAAAGATCTACATATATGTATATACATTCTGATAATCATAACCAGGTAACCCTTTCTAATAATCCCTTTGAAAAACTGTTCTTTTTTCACATTAATTTTAATTTCATTTCTAATTCTTTGTTCACGATTCAAAAATTTTACAAACGTTACAATATGCATTCTTGGATTGCAAGTTTGTAACAACAATTAGGCATGATCGTAGATGTTTTTTCAATTTTCAACCTATGAATTAGTTACATTTTGCCATGGTAATTCTCAATGTAATAAGTAGACCCTAGAATGGTTTTTTTCAGTGATGATTTTTCTAGGTAAAAGTGCTACATATAATTAGAATGTGACAGAAACTGTGGTAAGTTTAATTGGAGTGTGGTGCAAGTATTTGAGAATGTGATTGAGCATTATAAATTTTTTACTTGATGGAAAATTTCAGGCCAAGCGTATGCAAGGGAACAATTACATTCCTCCTTTAACACCAAGGTCGAGATTGGAAAGGCTTTTGAGAGAAAGAGAGCTAAGGAAATCAAGCCGGTATACTCAATCGGCCGAGGACGGAAAAGATGGCAACAGAGACTCAGAACAACTTAGTGATGCATTCCTAAGTGAGAATGAAGTCGAAGATGTTGCGGAAACGGTGGCTGTGGAGGACAGGCCTCGCAAACAACGTTTGTTGGTGGTAGCTAACAGGTTGCCTGTCTCGGCTGTTAGGGAGGGTGTGGATTCATATCACCTTGAGATCAGTGTTGGTGGCCTTGTCAGTGCACTTTTAGGCAAGAAAAAAGTTTGTTACCTTTGCATCAATTTGTTTTATTTTTGTTCTACTAGTTTGTTTTTTGATTCATGTGTCTGTTGTAATTCAGGTATGTTATTTGTTATATGATTATCTTTAAATAGCGGTGTTGTAACACTATTGCATACAGAATTTGAACAAACTGCTATTTTCTGCAATCTGCGATTGATAACCGACAACACGGGATTACAAAAATGATAACTATTTAACTTCAAAACTTTTTAATGAAACTGGTTATTTGGAGATATTTATATTTGTAGAGTGAAGTGTTGTATGAAGTTTGTTGTTTCTGCTGAAGGTGTAAAGGAGTTTGACACAAGATGGATTGGATGGGCTGGTGTGAATGTGCCTGATGAAGTTGGGCAGAAAGCTTTGACTAAAGCTTTAGCTGAAATGGTATTGAATATTGTTTGTATCATTGTTGAATTTTGAGCAAATTTAGTATTTCAAAAGCATGGAGATTCCTATCATTGTAGTTATAATCACGCTTTTGTTTATGCATTTGTTAACTGCAGCGATGCATTCCGGTGTTTCTTGACGAGGATATAGTTAATGAATACTATAATGGTTATTGCAACAACATATTATGGCCACTATTTCATTACCTTGGACTTCCGCAAGAGGATCGACTTGCTACCACCCGTAGTTTCCAAACTCAATTCGATGCGTATAAGAAGGCAAACCAAATGTTTGCTGATGTAGTGAATAAGCATTATCAGGATGGAGATGTTGTTTGGTGCCATGATTATCACCTAATGTTTCTTCCAAGATGTTTGAAAGAATACAATGACAAAATGAAAGTTGGATGGTTTCTCCATACACCTTTTCCTTCCTCGGAAATACATAGGACTCTGCCATCGAGGTCGTATCTTTTGAGATCTGTACTTGCTGCTGATTTGGTGGGGTATGTTATCCTTGAATCTCAATGATGGCAAACGATGTCTTTGTCCGTATGGTTCATTATTTCTTAAAACAGTTACATGATATGAATTTGATATCAAGTGGTTATTCTGATGAAGTTATTTTTAGGAACTGCAAACATTTTGTCTGATGTTATGGTTTTGATACATACATTTATCCGCTTCACAGATTCCATACTTACGATTATGCTAGGCATTTTGTAAGTGCTTGTACTCGAATTCTTGGGATAGAAGGTACACCTGAAGGAGTCGAAGATCAAGGGAAGCTAACCCGTGTGGCTGCGGTATATCTGCAGATACTCTCTATCTTTTCTAATTATATGCACTTATCAGTGGAGTTCGCAGCATTAAATACTTTCATCAATGAATATGCATTCCCTTATGTTTTATTTTTGGGTGTGTGAAACTTCAGTTTCCTATTGGAATTGACTCTGAGAGATTCATTAGAGCCCTTGCGCTTCCTGAAGTCCAGAATCACTTGAAAGAATTGAAAGAAAGGTTTGCAGGCCGAAAGGTAAGAGGCACATATGCCAAATGCCTAAGTTTAACAGTTTGAGAACTTGAGACCATTCCTTGGTTTCTTGCGTTGTTTCTGATAAATGTGCATCATTTGAATCAGTTTGTTCTTATAATCAAATGGTCAGGTAATGTTGGGTGTTGATCGACTTGATATGATAAAAGGAATTCCTCAGAAAATCTTGGCTTTTGAGAAGTTCCTAGAAGAGAATGCACATTGGCGTGATAAAGTTGTCTTGCTACAAATTGCTGTGCCTACTAGGACAGATGTCTCTGAATGTAAGTTACTTATTTTTAGGCATGTAAAATAAGCATTGTTTTTTTTTATCGATTTAGACTCTTGTGTCTTGTTTTATTTATTGGCACTTATTTCATGGTTGAGGCACTCTTTTTCTACATTAGTTGTGATATTTTTTGCTTAATGTTGTGACAGATCAAAAGCTTACAAGCCAGGTGCATGAAATTGTTGGACGCATCAATGGAAGATTTGGAACACTTACTGCTGTCCCGATACACCATCTGGTTAGTGTTATAAACACTCAGTTATGGTTGTAGACATAGTTTTCTTGCTTGGTTCGTGGCAATGCTGTACAAAACAAGTATCATGATTCATGAGTTTGGGTGAAATTTTATACTATTTGAAATCTCATTGAAAACACAAACCTTGTCATATCATTCCTGCATATTGACTGCAATTATCAAACGAACAGATCCCTTTACTAAGATATTAACTATTGACCTTCTCGGAAAATGTGAAAACCTTTGTTACTGTTATTTAAATGATAATGTTAACATTTCTAATTCATTGATTTCTATGGTTGCAGGATCGGTCACTTGACTTTCATGCATTATGTGCACTCTATGCAATTACTGGTACTAATTTTATCCCTGGTTTACAAGATATAGTTCATGTTGTCTTTCTAAATTTCATAACCTTTCCATAATTTTCATCTTGTTTAGATGTAGCACTTGTTACATCATTAAGGGATGGAATGAATCTTGTCAGCTATGAATTTGTTGCATGTCAAGCTTCCAAGAAGGGGGTTCTCATTCTAAGCGAGGTAATTCACTTCATTTATGTCTCTTTTTATTAGTTTTGTCAGTTGGATCTTCTGTTGTTTTAATTGCTCTTCGTATATGAGAAATCAGTACTTTGCAATTTACAAAGATTGCCGTAATTATTTATATGTCAACAGTTTGCAGGTGCAGCACAATCTCTTGGTGCTGGTGCTATCTTGGTAAATCCATGGAACATCACAGAAGTTGCTGCTTCTATTGGTTATGCTTTGGATATGCCAGCTGACGAAAGAGAAAAACGGCATCAGTTTAATTTCAAGCATGTAACAACTCACACATCACAAGAATGGGCTGCAACTTTTGTGAGGTTTTAATCCTGTAACAATACTTGCATTTTGTTTTTCTTGAATTAGCCTTAACTTTTATGGTGTTCAATGTTACATCTTATGCATTTCATGGATATTAATTCTAAACACACTGGTTTTCGTTTATACAGTGAACTGAACGATACCATTGTTGAAGCTCAACTTAGAAAAAGACAAGTTCCTCCGTTACTTCCCAATAAAGTCGCGGTTGATTGTTACTCAAAATCCAATAATCGATTGATTATACTGGTAAGCTGTGAGAATAGATCATCAAACACTTGACAGTGGTATGAGATGTAACAAATTATTACTGTGGACTGCAGGGTTTCAATACCACTCTGACTGAACCAGTTGATACTCTTGGAAGGGGTGGTCAGATTAAAGAAATGGAACTAAAAGTACACCCTGATCTGAAGGAGCCTTTAAAGAAGTTATCTGAAGATCCAAAGACAACAATAATAGTTCTAAGTGGGAGTGGTAGAGCTGTCCTGGACAAAGTATTCTTTAGAAAACTTTGTTTGTTTTTCAATGTTTGGTATCCCCTTGCTTTTGTAATAACAATGATTTTCTGCAGAACTTTGGTGAATACAATATGTGGTTGGCAGCAGAAAACGGGATGTTTCTTCGACTTACTTCAAGTGAATGGATGACAACCATGCCTGAAAATTTAAACATGGATTGGGTTGATAGTGTAAAGGTAGTTTAACTTACATGAAACAAGTTTTCTTATGTTAAATTTCTTTGATTTCAAGTATGAACTTTTTCGAATTTTTATAAAACTTCAGCATGTTTTTGAGTATTTCACTGAAAGAACACCAAGGTCTCATTTTGAGCTTCGCGAAACTTCAATTATCTGGAGCTATAAGTATGCAGGTATGTGACAATACTAAGGCCATTTTCATCTTCCCCTTTCCATTTCAACTTTACTCGTTTTCTTCTAGTAAGATCTTTGTGCTGATACATGTCATCAAAAGTTGAGTCTTTTTTATGGTTATTTGCCGACTTATTTTGACTAAATATTAGATGTTGAGTTTGGAAGACTTCAAGCAAGAGATCTGCTTCAGCATCTTTGGACAGGGCCGATATCAAATGCATCTCTTGACGTTGTCCAAGGTGGTCGATCTGTCGAGGTTCGTGCAGTTGGTGTGTCAAAGGTACTAAAATTCCAGTTGGCTAGTACATACTATGATTTTCTGTTCAGAAGTTTTTCTTCTATATGCTAAAACCTGACACTCATTTTTTGGCCTTCCTGCTATGTAGGGAGCGGCTATCGATCGTATCCTGGGAGAGATAGTTCATAGTAAAGGCATGAAAGAACCAATTGATTATGTCCTATGCATTGGCCATTTTCTAGCAAAGGTTTTGTTTATATTCGTAGGCTTAGTTGTTGCTTTATATTGTTAGAAAGCTCAATAGTTTTTGCAAACTCAATTGTTTCAGGATGAAGATGTCTATAAATTTTTTGAGCCAGAGCTCCCTTCTGAATCATCTCCAATGGCAAAAGCTATGCTGTCCAATTACAGGCCATCATCTCTGCCAAGAGCTTCATCCAGCAAAGGTGGATCTAAAGCAACTTACTATAAGAAGCAGCGTTCAATGTCAAATATAGAAAGGAGAGAGATAGAACGCACGAGTAGTGATCCTTGGAGACCAACAAGTCGCGAGAGAACATCATTACACGAGGGTTCTTCAGTTCTTGATCTTAAAGGTGATAACTACTTCTCTTGTGCCGTTGCACGGAAGAGATCAAGCGCACGCTACCTTCTTAAAACCTCTCATGATATTGTCAATCTCTTAAGTGACCTGGCAGATCATTCTTGATCGTGACCAACTTGACCAATACATGCTAACTGTGCCAAGGTCATGTTTTGGAAGGTCTTATATTGTTTGTTTCTTTTTCCTCATCAATTGGCTTATTGAATACTGATAAAAGTGCTTACATGTATTCATTGATGTATCAATTAGTTTTGAAATGCACTAGATATTCACCCCGTTGATTGGTTTAACCTGACTAATATTGGTTCCGTAATGCATTATCTTGATACTAATAAATCTTAGTACATGGCATGTTGCTTAACTTATAAAGGATTTAAAAATAACACATCTAAAGTGACAATGAATATTTATATTTTTCAATTAGTATGAATAAATGAAAAACATTAAGCATGGTGACATACAATTGTTTGTGATATACAACAAGTACTGAAGACAAACGCCTAACCAAAGCTTCTATTGTTGAACAATGCAAAATTCAACCAACTATACCCTGAGTGTGGTATAATATGAAGGATACATCAAGGCAACTAATTCCCAAACCCCAAGTAAATTAGTGGTTGAATTAAGAATGCAAAGAATTAACTCAATACAGGTCCTGGCTAGGGAAGAATGGTGTCAATGGATGACATAAACCCGAGTCAAATCTGGAAAGTTCTTCATAAACAACTTGAGCTAATTTCCATAAGCTATTCTTCTAGTCTCTGTTTTGGCACATAAGCAAATTGGCTCAAGTCCGCAGCCGCTGGCCTATGGTAACCATGTATAAATAAATGGTCATAATCATAAACCATAATATTGATATGAAACTACAAGGAACAATGAATATTATGATTATGACAGAAATAAATTACCTAGTATTACGAGTTTTACGAATATCAGGAGCTACTCTTCTAGTCTTTGTTGGTTTTGGCACATACGCATATTTGTTCAAGTCCGCAGATGTTGGCCTAGTATATATACAAGATTACAAATCATTATATTGATATAAAACTCCAAGGAACAATGAATCCAGCATCCTGGCAGAAAAACATTACCTATTGTTGTTATGAGAGTTCCGAACATCTTTCAGTGGAGCGCGTAGACCACTGACACGAGAGCCGGGTGTATATTTAAAAGCTGATATTACAGAAGCAAATCTTTCCAAAGACTTCTCGGCTATTTTTGAATAATGACCTAAATGGGAAATGTTTGTCCCAAATTTTTCTTCAGCACTATCATCTTTCAATGGCGCATCAACATTGTGATCAGAGCAACCTAAATTCAAGAAATAACAGAATTCAGAGATGCTTCCGTTCATGATTAAACCTATATTAAACTAAAATATTTGACTCATCCTTTCCTCCACTATAGCATTTTGTCATCGGCTTCATTTAAAACATGTCATGAGTCATACCATGCATAAAAGTACACCTAAGATTGTGGTTTGCTAAATACAGGAAAAGTTAATATCCTTTAATATGTCAAAAGGTTTATAATACAAAAAATAACTATCTAGTAATAGCAATTTTCATATTAAAGTAGCAAAGTCACTGTCGTAAAAGAAAAGCTTTTACCGAAGTAGCAAAGTCACTTTGATAAAAGAAAAGCTTTTATCAAAGTAGCAAAGTCACGGTCATAAAAAGATGGTGCAACAATAACAATGATAGCAGCCACCATATAAAACAATAAATAAAATTAAAATTAAAGCAAGATAATTGATACTAGCTATTCTAGTTGTGAAGGTGAAAGAACATATGAATTATACCATTATCACAAGTAGATGAAGTAGGATGCATTTGCCTGGCCTGTAAGTTTTCCTGGAGAAATTCAAACCATCACTACATGAATATAATAGGAGAAAGTGTTAAAGAAAACAAATGGTTCCATGTGGAAAAAATATCTAACATTTTGAGTATTGTCATTAGGGGAGCCCTTCCTTTTCAAGTCGTTGTTCTTCAAATGGCTGTTACATAAATCACCTCCAGATATGCCATTTTTTCTCTCGTCAATGAAGATGCCAGAGGACAGCTGCTCTTGTTTCTCATCACAAGCATTCTTTTCTATTTGCTTCTGCTGAAAGTAAGGACTCCTTACAATTACCTTTCTTCTTACCTCCTTGGTGTTTCCTTCAACTTTGTCTTGGAGATTCGTGAGCTCTTGCTCCTTATGCGACCCCAGACAAGGTTTATGAATTGGCTTCCTGGGCTGTCTCAATATTGTATGATCGGGACTTGCCTTCTTCTCTCCTGCCATAGATGCTAAATTCACATATACAAAGAAATGTGCATCAGCAAACACATGCAAAGGAATAATGGAGTATAGTTTTCAACCAAAAGAAACTAACTGGCCTATATTCTTACCATGATATGGTGATTTTATAAGGTCTGAAGTTTTGGAGGAAAAACTGTTTTCAATCTAATCAAAGGAAAGAATATGTTAGAAAATGGCTAAGAGTTTAACAAGCAACAATGAACAGCGTTTTCAATATATAGTTCTCTAGTCAGGGCAACTTACATAGCAATTAGGAGAAGAGCCGCTGCCTAAATTCTCAGAGTCAACTGACGATGCACCGGAGTTCATAGTTTCTCTAGCAGCAGCTTCTAAAGTCTGATGTTCCAGGGAATTGACAGAAGAAGAAATCAGTGTACTTTGGTTAGTAGTAGTAGGTGATGTCCGTGGTGCTCTGAATTCCCTTTTTGCTTCAAGAGATGCAAAACCTTCCATGGCTAAGGAAAATTTACTTTAAGAATGAATAGAAGAGGCCTCCTAAAAGTGGCAGTATGTCATATGAAGAAACTTTCAAGATTCAGTTGTCATAAAATGTTTTTGGCTTTAATAATTTTTTGCATCTTCTAAACTACTTAGATGCTATACAACCTAGAATGAAATTTTCATAGAAAAAATTAGCAGCCAACGCATCAACAGCGTCAAGAAGTATCCCTATGGACCACAGAATGTAACCCTGCATTCCTCCCATTTAAATATGCTAAATGATTAAATTCAACAAAAGTAGAATGCTTCAGAGGATACAAAAATACTTGGTCAAGAGATTCTTCTGCACGGGAAGATCAATCTTTTTCTTCACCCTTTCAGGGTTAAGAGTTTTGAATTGAGAAGTTCCTACAATTTCTAATCTGGCAACAAATTTATCTCCCTGCAGTTTCAAAAGAAATATACATCAACATACAATACCTTTAAACAAGTAGGCTATAAAAAATTGAAGAACATACATGTGTGCCTAAATGCTTACCTTGTGATAAAGTATAGTATTACATAGGGAATTGTTAGAATTAGAAGGAACGGAATATGAAATGAGGTGAGTTTGTTATAAAGGGAGTGAGGAGAGGGGTAAGGAATAATTTTGGGGGGGGGGGGGGGGGTGTACAAGCTGAGCAGCTATACTGAAGAGTTGTCTCCTGTTTTCTTCTCTAGTTTTCTGTATTTTCATCTTTCATACCTAGTTTTACAGAGTAAATGTTCTGATTGTGAGGAGCATAGCTCTATTTTTTTTCCTATTTCTAATATTAATATATATCTGGTACCTATCATCTTAAACCTTGTTTATTAAAATACGTTAACCGTGTATTAGCATTTTCCTTTTATTCTAAATATGACTTCTTGAGCATATAAACATGCATCTTATCAAAGTATTACAACTATTGTCTCACTATAAGAATGTACAATGGTCATACTAATTACCAAGAAAACCTTGTATAGATCATTATAAGAATGAAAACATCACCCAAGTTATATGCAGAATTCACACACTTGTTTACACCCATGCAAACATAAAGGCAACAATAATAGATCAATCTTTTCAACTGCCATCAATCTTATTTCTATCATCATCAAAATCCATTTTCTTTCAACACCATTTAAATTAGCCATCATAAATAAATTAAATTACTGACCAAAAAATTGAGATTTATGGTAACTAGAAATTCATATATTGATTCTAACAATAACACACACAAGACACACAAAGTGCGTGTGAAGATAAATAAAAATTTGAAGGTGTACCTCAAATGGCGTTTTGGTAATTGGATCAAGATCCCCTTCAGCTATTCCCTGTGCTATATCTTTTGGCAAGGGTGTGTTTATCAGGTTAAGGTAATATTTTAAATAAGATCTCAGATGATTAAACAAAATGTAGCAAACTTTTATCAATAGTTCAATATTCAATATAAAAGTAATAAAACCTTGAAAGGATATGGGCCTAAAAAGTCTAACTCGTCACCAATATCATCAGGTATGTCGGACAAATGGACAATATTTTCACTAACTGGATCATAAACCCGTTGATGTTGGAAAGTAAGTATAGCCTTCCTGAATGACTCTTCATAATTGGGAGGTATAGAAATACCACTGTATCTCAAGTGCTTAAGAACCTGATAAATTACAATTGGCATCAGAATTACAACAAATTTCATATCGGAAGTATATAAAAGATGTTTGTGCGTGGATTTCTTTAGGTTCTTTGGTCTTGAGTGATCATGCTTGTCAACCGTATCGGTCATTCTTACCTTGTCGTAACTTTTAAACTTTTTAATGCTTGCATGGGCCTTTTTGAGACCCATACCTGGCAAGGACGGAAGATAATCGCAGCCACTCAAAATACACATCTCAAGAAGCATTTGTCTGTTAAACCCTTCAAAACTAAGCTCCTTATTCTTTTGAAGCATTGAATACTGAAACTGGACACCTTGACCAAACTTGTCCATTTTAAAGATAATCTAAATTTTAATGGAAGAGACAAACCAGTCAAGAGTCAGTGATTCTATCAAATTAAAGAGCATTATACCGTATAAGCATGGATTATACAAGCTTATAAAAAGATACAGGTAATACAAGACATTAGTGTGTTAATCTAAGCCTTATAAAAACTCACTCTTGGACAACCAAACGGTATAAGATCCGAATCTTCAGTTATAACTGCGTCAACCTGTTTGCTAATTGCCAAGAATGTCATTTGGGCATCTGCCTCATAAGGAGCAACAATATACTGGACATTCTCCTGCTTCAATACCTTTAACAAATAAAAAAAACAAGGTTTCAACATTTAGGAGAAAATACATGTGATTGAGTATGTAACAATCTACTATCTCCTCCACAACATCCCGACTAGCTCAGATAAACTGAATTCCTCTCTACCTGAATTAGTTCTCGCGCAATCAGAGGAGAAATGTCAACAGCTTTCTGGTAGCACTCATAAGCAGCTGTAGAATTTCCATTTGAATCGTGTTCAACTGCACGTTCAAAATTATCCTTTCTAGCCCTACACTTGCAGCATAGAAAAAAAACTTGTTTCATAAGCAAAAACGCAGCAACAACAACAACAACCAGGATTAAAAAAATAGCTAATAAATCAGAGTGTGTACCTAGCACGCTTGTTCTCTTGTTCAACCTTCATTGGTAGAAAACCTCCATCAAATACAAGAATAGGCTTAACACCATAATGGCGCAGCAAATTCACTCTATGCATACAATACTCAATATGCCTGTAATACCAACACAATTATTGTTCAATCAAAACCTATTGAAAACCAGCATGCAAAATTGATTGCCTAAAAACTAAAAAACAAATTTTGACTCAGTGATTTATGCGAAATATAAAATTAAAGAAAACCCAACAAAAAAAAACAAGGCAGATGGGTTGATAACCTAGAAGTGGGTATTCCTTTGCAGAGGTCAGTGCTGCAAGAAAGGGCGCCTTTGTGGAGCCAAGAGTAGGTGTCGATGGCGACAGAGCAGCCGTGAAGGTCTTTGATGTGAATTGGGAGCATTATGGATTTGAGTAGCGGTAATAAACCATGGATTCCCATTTTCACTTGGCAGATTGCGGATTCAGTCGCTCTACTATTTCAAATCCATAATACGCATTGCGCGACTCTTGCTTTCCGATGGAGACACGCGCAGGAGATACTTTGGCGGGAAAAAGCTTTGATTTTTGGGATCCGATCCCTCCACTCCCATTACCGTGTTAGCGCTATCTTTTTTTTAAAAAAAGATTTTTTTTATAAAATTAAGATAATTTATATTTTTTATATAAAATATTTTTTTTGGGACTAAACACGTGTGAATATTGTTAAATATTGTTGTTTCGTTTCGTGAATTGGAAATGTGTAAAGAAATGATGAAATGGGTCTTCTCACCGTAGAGCAAATTTTTAGTATGATAGATAAATAGTAGACTTATAAGGTTAATATTTCAATGTTTAAATTAGATATTGAGTGAAAGTATTATGAGAGTGTGAAAGAATTGAATATATAAAATATCATTGTATGATTTTTATATAATATGGACGGTTAAAATTGTTTGTGCGTGATTTGATGCCTCATGTGGATGGTCGTATGTTTGGATATCAACAACGAAATATGTGATAAAGGGTGTGATTGTGTGTCCTTAATAGATATAAGGGTCTGCTTGTTGAAGGTGTTCTTCCATTCAACGCTTGTTAATGGACTTTCATCGTTTGGGCATTGTAGACTTCATATAACAGTTTCCTTTCAAGCCAATGTTCCTACATCGTATAGGGAGGGTTTTGTCAAGTTTGTTTTCAATTTTGTCTCTAATGGAATGAGAGCTATAAGTTTTAATTATCTTTGTTGTATGCGGCTTTTTGTGGGACACTAAGTTTGTCTTTGGGTTGACCATATGTTTTTCATGCAATCGTTTATTTTATACGTTTACAGCCTTTTGACATGGACAACACTCGGCCCAAAACTTGGAATGTGATAAGAGATAAATTTATTGTGTGGGTAGATCAAGAGACAATGTACATCATTTTCACCTTTGTGGATGAAGGCAGACTGGCCATGCCTTTATTAATGTGGGTCCCCCTTAAACTATAAAGTGCTTCTCCCAAAGAGAACAATAGGATTTGCAACATGTATGATGGGTGTGTTGTTCCTCTTCATCATGAATGTCTGATTTCTTTGATATATTTCATTTTCCCTTCAATAATTTTGAAATGGGTGTTATAAACCAAGTGGTAATTGCTCACTCACAACTATACCTAGTGATTTTCTTATAATTGTTTCTTTTATGCGTTTACAACCTTTTGACATGAACAACACTCAACCCAAAACTTAGAAAGCGATAAGAAATTACTTTATTGTGTGGGTAGATCAAGAGACAGTGTACATCATGTTCGCCTTTATGGATAAAAGCATACTAGACCACGCCTTTATTGATATGGGTCCCCCTTTAGACTATGGAATGCTACCTCCCAAAGAGAACAATAGGATTTGCAACAAGTATGATGGGTGTGTCGTTCCTCTTCATCATGAATGTCTGTTTTCTTTGATAGTTTTTGTTTTCCTTTTAATGAATTTGAAAGGGGTGCTATAAACTAATTGGTAATTGCTCACTCATAATTGCACCCAATGAGTTAGGTTTACATCAAAATCTTCCAGTACTAGTGCAAATACAAGATAATGTGACATCTTTGACACTATTTTCCCACCTCTTTAAAGTCCAATAAGTTTTGTTGATTCACCCTATAAGCATGGTCTTATCTCTCTTATACATAATACCAAGATGTTTGAGGTTTATTTAAATAGCTAGAAGAACTTCTATGGACTAGTACTACCAGGAGGTTCATGCCAATATCTGTAATATAGATTTCAAACTGCCTTACCAATGTTCGGATAAGTTCTCCAAGTTATGGCGCTAGAGTCATTTCTTGGTGGATGATGGGTCATATGTTTATAAATTAGACAATATTTCATGGGAGAAAACAAATATTAAGAGAAAATTACTGGACTTCTTTAAAGATTTATGTTATGTTGAAAATGTCTTTCCTTTATGGGTGGCACTAAGGAAACAAAATAAGTATTTCATACATGCACACTTGTTAATGGAATAATGTGTACGAGTTCTCTTGCCAGGCTGATCGTGGTTAACCTTTTTGTCCCAATTCAAATGGAATTTTGAGATTCAATAGATCAAGTCATGGTGGAAAGTATTTTTCGTTCATTATTGGTCGTAATTAGAGGGAGCATTATTATTAGGTTTATTGTCGGGATTGTTGGACAACTGACTTTAAGCACAAGAAGCGGTAAGTTATGGCATTCAAAATTCACAATTACTTTCATATTTTTCTTGATTATTCTTGAAATTGTGTTAGTGATTTCTTAAGAGTAAATAGCAACGAAAATAAAATAGTAAAGATAAACAACAAAAATTTAAAGGGGGTAGGATTAGAGAGATTGCACCCGAGATTTATACAGGTTTAGTCGAACGTTGGCCTAGTCCTGTCCCTAAAATATCTTCTTGATAGTTTGATTAAAAAGTTTGAGCTTTTGAAGGTTATACCCACAAAACCTTTTATACAATCTGATCTTGAGATTTTCATAGGATTATCCCCAACCAAAGATATATTTTACCACAGACTAAGCTAACAAACCTTCTTAGAGATTTTCAGGCTCATCTTAATAACCAAAATAAATCTTTTTTCGACAAAGCTCAAAAAACCAAAACAAAGATTTTATGACTGGTTTATATCAATAACCAAACTCAATTTTCTCAAGAGAACTGCACTTTCAAGAATTAAACAAATAGCACGGTCACTTACAAAATCTTCATCGCAAGCAAAATGTCACTCAATCACTATGCTAACTTCAAGTGAAATAAAAGTGTTTTTAGAGAGAGATAAATTTCAAAAAAATATAAAGCTTTGGAAAATGGCGTGCAATGAATAAGATGTAAGTCTAAGAGTGCCTAAGAGGGGGGGTGAATTAGGTATATAAAAATTTATTCGGTTTTATGAGAATACTTGTAGTAATTTGTGGTTAAGAGTTTGAAGGTTTTTGATTATATCTTATCGTTTTCATACCAAATGTAATTGCAAGCTTCTCAAGTCATGTTTAAAGCATTGGTTTTGATGAAGACAACATGGATATCAACATTCAAAGGATGTGCAAAAAGTTTATCAATATCATATAAAACCTTGTTACAAGTCTTGAAGATTAGAAGAAGAATTATTAAAGAAACAACAAATGTCAAAAGGTATAAATAATTCTTAAACTTGAATATTGATCTAACCTGATCATACTTGGACCGTCATGGCTGGCTCCGAGCTGAAGTTTTGAACGAGGTGGGGGGGTACCTGCAAGGCACTCTGATGCTGAAGTAAGTAAGAGCACGAGCAGGCAAGAGTATGAGTATGGGTAAAATAATGAATACCTGACCCTCTGGGAACAGAGGGTATTTATAGCCCCCAACGCTGGGCCAAGGTTCCTTCATTGGGCCGGGCAGGTTTGGCCCAATGGAGGAACTGCCAGGTTCTACGTGTGTAGTGGGGACCCGCACGTGGTCCCCTTCCTGGATGTTCTGCGTGAAGTACGGACGGACGAGGACGCAGTCTTTTCGGGATCTACGTGATGGTGTAGTGGACAGAGTCTGCCCTAGGAGGAGTGCTCGAGCTGGGGTCGAGCAGGGTAGCATGAAGACGAGGACGTCACACTAGCAGAGAATGTCGGGCACGGATGTGGCCTCTTGGTCGGCGTGACCCCTTGCAAGACCGTTTGGGTTGGGCCTTCACCATTGCTTTTGGGCCAGCTCGGCCCAGTCAAGAACAGGAGCCCCCCAAGTCGTGGTTCCTGGAGTAGGAGCCGTGACTTGATCTTTAGGTCGCCTCCGTCGCGGGACCCTGAATCCGGGCAAGGGATGCAGTTCCCCGTGGTTACTCGAGGAGCCTCCCGTATTGATTCAGCGAGATAATTCCCTTCGAGGGGTCCCCGAGGGATTTTCGGCGGGTTGCGCTTGTTGGGCACATGAGGTATCTCTTGGGAGTCGTGCCGCCACCCTATTGTAGGTAGGGTCATCATTGCCTAGGGGGGTTGTGCGTCGAGGAGGGAAGTCTGTGGTTCCCCGGGGTGACGTTTGGTATTCCACGTCATCACTATAAATAGGGTCTTTGGGCCCCAGAACGTGTTTTCCCTCTTCGCGCTTCTCCTCTTCCCTCTGTTTCTGTTGTTGTTGTTCTTCCCAGATACTCATAGGACCGCTGTGATCTTCGTCGCTGATTCCCTTTCTCCGTCGTCACATTTCCTTCTTGATTCCAAGTAAGTGTCTTGTCTCCTTTGTTTTTCCTCTGTGATGCATGATTTTTCATTGTTTTTAGAAGCTTAGAGACTGTACGCCTGGGATTATCCCCGGTATATTCGTGTTCAGCTCGACAAATCCATGTTTATGCCCGGCGAACGCATGTTTGCGCCCGACAAATGCATAGTTTAGGTATTTAACTAGCAGTGTTGCCCGGGATCTTTATGATTCGGGGCGCCTAATTCTTGGTGGTGCCCGGTGAACTCATGGCTCTAGTTTTGAGACGCATGATATCGCTCGCCACGTTCATAGTCTAGGTCGACATATTCGTGAGTGGTCGAGATGTTAGCCCACTTAGGCGATCTGTAGGGAGACTTCTCGTGGTATCTGGGAGTCGGGGAGGTGACTTCTCTTTTTGTTTCGAGACACCAACTTTTTTAGTCACGCGTGGAGTGATATGGCTTGTCGTGCTCTTCATCCCGACTGCTATGGCGAGCGTACGTATTTGCTCCCCAATTGATCGGTTTCCTGTGCTTTGTAGGTAACCATGGCCGACGAACCGTGTTCCTCGGGGCGCGCTGAGGTGGAAGACCAAAGTGCCGAGGAAAATGTAAATTTGGTTGATACCATTGAGGACCCTTTGCTGGCATGGGTGGGCGTCGAGCCCATGGGGATAGCTTCGGCCTACAGTCGACGTAGTCAAAGTGCATACACCATCCTCGAGAAGGGCAGTAGCCAGCCCGGTTTCCAGAAGAACTTCGTCGTCTCGCAACCA